GCGCCAGGCCCGAGCCGCCTCACAGTGTCCCCTGGCGGTCGGGGGCGACAGGGCCTCCGCCAAGGTTCCGGAAAACGAAGAGGACATGGTTTGTCGCCGCCTATCGTGTTTGAGGACCCGCTGTGCCGGTCTCCTGCCACGCTTCATTCATTTAATCATGTCGGGCCGGAGAGATAGCTGCTATTATACCAAGTTTGAAAGACGGGAAAATGAAGGCTGACATAGGTGAAGTATTTTGCCCAACGCCTTACCGCCATTAAGACCCTAGGTGGCGTTGTTTAAATCCTAAACCATCAGCCGACTGTCTCCCTAAATGCAAATCATCTCATCTTCTTCCTGAATGTATTCCTCATCCCTGCTGTGGAGGGGATAGCATGCGAATTTTGCGGGGCAGTTGTGAGGATTGAGATTTGCAGATTATGTCTAAAAATAGGGCCCGATTTAGTAAGCACAACACAACCCATGGTTATTAATGACAAACGTGTGTATGTCAAATCCTTTTACTTGTGTGGGAGGAAATGAATCAATTTTAAAGGAGAGAGTGAATGAATTTGAGACAAGTCCACAAGTCAAACAGGTCCACTCTAAACGTGGGCTATTTCTCTGATATTCTTCTCTAAAACCTAGATAGAATTGTGTCCCTTGCCAATTTAATTTATCCTCTGTGGCTCCACATTGCCTGGATGATAAAGTCCAGACCCCTACCTAGGGTCACATTCTAGGCCCTTCCAGTAAAGCCCCAATTTGCTGTCTCAGACTCATATGATCTCTCTGACCTTGACCTTGACCTATGCGCTGGCAGGTCATGATTTGGGATTCCACCACTATATTAGTTTGCAGGCTGCTGTAACAACTCACCACAAGCTGGGTGGTTTAAAATAACAGGAATTTATTCTTAAGGTTCAGGAGGGGAATCGTCCAAAATCAGGGTATTGGCAGGGTTCATGCCTTCTGGAGTCTCTGAGAGAGAACCTGTTCTCTGCTTCTCTCCTAGCTTCTGGCAATTGCATGCAATTCTTGCCATTGATTTGCTTACAGATACATCAATCTAATCTCTGCCTCTGTCATCACACAGCATTCTCTCCCTGATTGTCTTCCCTTTTCTTTTAAGGACACTAGTCATATTGGGTTAGGGAGCACCTTTATGGTCTCATCTCAACTTGATTCCATCTGCAAAGACCCTATTTAAATACCATTAATAGTTACCCTGAGTTAGAACTTTAACATATCTTTTTTGGGGACACATTTTAACCCATAACAACCACTGTCTTCAAAACCCAACAATTACACATCCAGGTATAAACGCTAGAGACCTTCTCACACGTATATAAGGATGTCAGTGAAGCATCGTTTATAAAAGCCAAAGACAGAGAACAACCTAGTTGCCTATCAATGGGGGAGTAGATAGATGTGCTGTTACAGTCACATAATGGAGAATTGTATATTTTTTGTAGGTACCAATATTTGTAGGAACTCAATTTGCAGGTATCAACATGGATAGACCTCAAAAATGTAAAAAAACAAACAAACAAACAAGTTCCAGAGCTATACGTATAAGATGGCATGATTTTGCTAAAATTTTTAGAACAGTGCTCATTTAGAACAGTATGAAGTACATTGGAATCACCCTGTGATCTTGTTAAAATGGAGATTCTGATTCAGCAGATGTAGGGGTGGGGGAGAGGCCTACGATCCTGCATTTCTTTCTTTTTCATTGAATTATAATTGATTATACATATTTTGGGGATTCAATGTTGACATATGTTGATTAAGTCAATATTATTAGTATGTATATTCTTACAAATTGTACTTATTCTTTATGCCCTGTGTCTAATCTCTCTCTGTCCCCCTCTCCCTCCCCGCTCCCACCACTGATAACCCTAGATTTCTTCTCTCCCTCTGAAAAAGTAATGGTTACTCTGCTGATTTGTTGCCTAGATGATCTGTCCAGTGCCGAAAAGTGTGTTCACATCCCCCAATATTATCATAGAGCAGATGCTTCTTCTGTTACTCTGGAATGGCCTTTGTGGTGAGACACATCCTATTCTTTTCTTTGGTCTCTGCTGGTGATTCTTCTTGTGTCAGTGTACTCCAGTGGCTGGTGGACCATCTGCGTGATGTGATGTCTAGCCACTTTCACAGCAACTGTGGTTACTGTGGTTACTGTAGTGGCTTACCCATGTGGAGGTGATGTTTTTGGCATGCTCCTTGGGCTGGTGGTGTGCGTGGTTGTGGTGGGGGGGTCTAGTAGGCTCCATTCCCTGGACCCCAGGTGGGGCCCCAAGGTACTGGCGGTGTGCCTGGTTGTGGGAGGGTAGTCAGTTCCCCAGCTTGATGCCCCAGGCCCCTGGGTGGGTCCCCAAGGCGCTAGCGTGTGCTTAAAAGATGACTGATAAGGGGATCTTAACCCTTGACTTGGTGGTGTTAGCACCATGCTCTCCCAAGTGAGCTAACCGGCCATCCATATGTAGGGATCCGAACCCGTGGCCTTGGTGTTATCAGCACCACAGTCTCCCAAGTGAGCCATGGGCTGGCCCCTTGATCCTGCATTTCTATTCTAACAAGCTCACAGGTGAGGCCAACGCCACTAGCCAGTGGACCACATTTTGAGGAGCGTAGCTCTGGTCCATGCCCTGCCAGCCATCTAGAAGTGTCAGACTGAGGCCCAGAGACAGGAAACTTGTGTCCCAAACTCCAGATTTCCCACTATATATATGAGTCCAAAAGAGGAAAGTATTGTCTAAGGTCACATAGCAAACTGGGCTTGAGACTAGAAACAAAAGCACAAATGTAGGGTAGATTCCTTTTATCACTTGCAACACCAAAAACAGATATTTAAGAGGATCCCCTGATCTGTGCCAGCCTTGAACTGCTTTGGTGGCCTATTAGGAATCATCTTTGGGCTGCAGGAAGCGAAAAACTGAAGACTGAAAGGGAGCATTCTGTGCAGACTCACACTTGGGGCGTGCTCTCCTATCAGCACCTGTGGGGAGTGAAGAATGAGGACTGGGTAGAGGGAGAAGCTGAGCCCCATAGATAACCAAGGCTCTGAAGCTGGGATGATCCGGCAGAGCTGTCCTGTGAGTAGCTGTACATGGAGTCTGTAGAGGGTGTGAATTTGCACTTGCGGTGGTGGTGTTTGAGAGTGACTTTGTTGTTGTTGTGCATTTGTGTGCTTATGTGAAAGTCAGTGAGAGGTGTGTGTCTGTGTGTGCACATGTATGCATGCATATGTTCGTGTGTTTGTGTTTGTGTGCGTGTGTGTGTAATGGATGTGTGCTGGCTTCCAGACTCATCAGGCCAGAAGCCCTGTGGCCTCTGCTCCTGAAGAGGGCAGAGGAGGCTGGCTAAGCCAGGGAAGGGGATGCTGAGTTGCCTCAGTGGCTGTGGGTGGGGTGGGGATGGTGCTGGTTAAAAGGACCACTTCTTTCAGAGAAGTAGCCATTTCTTTGGACCAGGGCCTTCTGTATCCCCATAACCATTGTCTTCTATGTCCCGCCTTCCCAGGAGAAACGCAAAGCCTCAGAAGAAGAGCTGGGGGAGGCCTGGGGGAGGCACTGCCTCACCACAGTCAGCCTCCCCTAGGAGGAGGCAGGAGGGGGTAGTTTCTGGTGACTGTGTCCCTTCTGAGCCCCCACAGAACATGCTGATTTCTGGCTAGTAGCCCCTCTGGAGGCCTCTCTCACTGGCCCACAGAGCTCGTTTTCTGTGTATGTGAAATTACTCAGAAAAATTATACCCACCCACCCACCTGATAATTGTAAGGAATTTAATAAATGATTAAAAATACTTTGTTAATGGTGACCGTCTGTGGCTCCTGATGTGCAGCCCCTGGGTATGCACTGATTCCCCTTTGTTCTGCCTCATACTCAGACTTT